TAGAAAACTTGTAAACTTTTGTGCACCAAAGTATACTATCAGCAGAGAAGCAAGGTAACCCCTGAATTGGGAGAAAATCTTTGCAAATCACATCTGATGAGGGATTAATATCCAGAAGATATAGAGAAAACTCCTAACAACAACAAAACCCAGTTAATAATGGGAAAAGGACTTGAATAGACATTTTTCCAAAGATATAAAATGGCCAATAAGCACATGAAAAGTTCTCAGTATTACTGACTTATAGGGAAAGTCAAATGACAACCACAATGGATACCACTTTACACCCATTGGGATGGCTGTTATTTAAAAGAACAAAGCCACCACCACCAGAACAAGTGTTGGTGAAAATCTGGAGGAATTAGAACCCTTGTGTACTGCTACTGGGAATACAAAACAAGGCAGCTGCTTCAAAAAATGGTGTGTCAGTTCCTGAAAAACTTAAAATTACGTGATTCAGCAGTTCTACCTCTGGTTGTATGCCCAGAAGGAATTGACAGCAGGGATATAACAGATAGTGTTAAAACCATGTTTATAGTAGCATTATTCTTTCCTTTTTTTTGAGATGACGTTTCATTCTTATTGCTTAGGCTGGAGTGCGGTGATGCAATCTCAGCTCACAGCAACCTCCACCTCCTGGGTTCAAATGATTCTCCTGCCTCAGCCTCCAGAGTAGGTGGGATGACAGCACGTGTTACCACGCCCAGCTAATTTTTGTATTTTTAGTAGAGACATGGTTTTACCATGTTGGCCAGGCTGGTCTTGAACTCCCAACCTCAAGTAGTCCACCTGCCTCGGCCTCCCAAACTGCCAGTATTATAGGTATGAGCCACCATGCCCGGCGAGCGGCATTATTCTTAGCCAGAATGTAGAAGCAATCCAGATGTCAGCAGAGGAAGGCTAAAGAAATGGCTAACAGAATATTATGCATCCTTAGAAATGAAGAAAATTCTGACACATGTGCTGCAACATGGATGAACCTTAAAGATATTATGGCAGCTTAGGTCTGCTAGTCAGAAAAGGACAGGTACCGTATGATTCCACTTGTATGAGATACTTGGAGTAAGTGAAAGTAAAATGGTGCTTGCCAGGGCCTGAGAGGAGGCGGGGATTGGTATTGTTTAACGGGTCCAGAGTTTCCATTTTGCAAGATGAAATATGTTCTGAAGATGGTTGGTGGTAATATTTATACAACAGTGTGAATGCACTTAATGCCACTGAACTGTACATATAAAAAATGGTTAAAGTGATATTCAGAAACTGACACTAACGAATGTAAGTTTCGGAATTAACTGATACAGAATTTAAAATAACTGTCTTAAACGTGTTCAGTGAGCTAAAAGAGAATTCAGACAACTAAATGAAATCAGGAAAACGATACATGAAGAAAAATGATAAATTTTATGTTATATATATTTTACTCCAATTTTTAAAGATAATTGAAACAGTCCAACATTGATTATTTCATGTTTTAATTATAAAAAGCACTTGATCTGGACGTGGTGGCTCACACCTGTAATCCCAGCACTTTGGAAGATGGAGGCAGGTGGATCACGAGGTCAGGAGATTGAGACCATCCCGGCTAACACAATGAAACCCCATCTCTACTAAAAATACAAAAAGTTAGCCAGGCATGGTGGCACACACCTGTAGTCCCAGCTACTTGGTAGGCTGAGGCAGGAAAATCACTTGAACCCATGTGGCGGAGGTTGCAGTGAGTCGAGATCCCGCCACCACACTCCAGCCTTGGCTACAGAGTGAGACTCCATCTCAAAAAAAAAAAAACAAAAGCAGTTGGAGTTATTCTTTACTAGGGTCCTTTTGCACCCAACCCCACCACACACCCAACATTTGGCAATGAGTGAAGACCTTTTTTGGGGGTTGGGTACTACTGGCATCTGTGGGTAGAGATCAGGGATGCTGCTAAACATCCTACAGTGCACAGGACAGCCCCCCACTGTGAAGAATTGTCCAGCCTCAAATGTCATTTCTGCCGAAGCTGAGATACCCTGAAATAGAATGATGACCAACTAAAAGCCTAGAGAGGACTTTATACGATTGCATCTTTGTTTAGGGAAGAAAAATTATGACAGTATGAAAATTGGGTTGTACAGTGAAAATTGAGATTCATTAAGAGGTATATTAATCTGCTGGGGCATATCACCAACGGGGTGCCTTAAACAACAGAAAGAAGTTCATTCTCTCACAGCTCTGGAGGCTGGAAGTCCAAGGTCAAAGCACCAGCAGGGTTGTTTTCTGGGGAGGCCTCTCTCCTTGGCTTGCAGATGGCTGCCATCTCTGAGTCCTCTTATGGTTTGTCCTCTGTGTGCACTTAGTCCTGCCGTCTCTTTCTTTTCTTAGAAGTACACCAGTCCTGTTGGATTAGGGCCCTACTCTGTGACCTTACTTATTTCTGTAAAGGCCTAATCTCCAAATACAGTTGTCTTGGGAGTTAGAACAACATACGGATTTGGGGTGCGGGAGGACACAATTCAGTTCATTGTATTCTCCCCTATGACCCCCAACAAATTTATGTCTCTTCACTTCAAAAATACATTCACTGTATCTCAACAGCTCTGAAAGTCTCAACTCATTCCAGCATGAACTCCAAGTTCGGAGTCTCATCTAAATAGCATCAACTCAAGTATAGGGGAGACTTGAGGTGTGATCCATCCTGACACAATTCCTCCCAGCTGTGATGGTACGGGCATAGGATAGACATTCCCATTTCAAAAGGGAGAAACCGGAAGAAAGAAGTTACAGCTTCTACGCAAGTCCAAAACGTAGCCAGGCAAATACCATTACCTCTTAAGGCTAAAGAATCATCTTTGGCCCCACACTCTTCCCTCTAGTCCCTCTAGGGTGGCGGCTTTGCCCCTGAGGGCTGTGGCCAGAGGCAGCTGGCTTCACCGTAGCTAATAAAAGAGGCCCTACCCTGTGAAATCAAGGAGTAGACATGCTTGCCCTGAACTTATATACTCTGTCTTGGTGGCAGTGGCAGCACTGACGGTCACTGAATTGCCCTTGGGGTCATCCTTTTCTTGAAGGACTAAGAACGTTTACACCCAGGTAGCTCTGCTGTCAGAAGTCCAAAAGTCTTACTTTATTTTATTCCATGTCCATCCCCTTTACTCCAACCTGCCAGTGTCTCTGCTGGAATAATCCTGTCTCTCTTCCCGGGCTTCTGCTGAGATGGCAGTTTTTCTCTCTGTAACATGCTTTCTCATTTTTGGCAATATGGATAGCCTGAGAATTTTCTGACTCTAGTTCCTGATTCCCTGTTACTTAACAATTTTTTCTTTAACTCATCTTTCTTTTTTTGCATTTTACTGTAACCAATAAGGAGATACCAGATTGTATCTTCAACACTTTCCTTACAAATCTCCTCTGCTAAATATCCAAGGTTGTCACTCAAAAAACTACTTCTCCATTTCTATGTAGTTGTTACAGTGACACCCACCTCATGATCCAAATCTGTACTATTTAGGGTTTTCCAGAAAAACAAAACCAGTAGCATGCTTTTTCATATGTGGGATATTTATTAAAACGAATTGGTTCATGCAAGTATGGATTCTGGTGAGTTTAAAATATGCAGTGTGGGCCAGCAGCCTGGAGACACGGGAGAGCTGATGGTGCAGATGAAAACCAGAGGCAGTGTCTTGCTCAGGAAAGTCAGTACTTTTGTTCTGCCCAGGTTTTTAGCTGATTGGATGAGGCCCAGCACATTATAGAGGGCACTGTGTTTACTGAAATCTCACCAACTTAAATGATAGTCTCCAAAGATTCATTCTAGATTGACACATAAAATTAACCATCACCAGAGGTAATGATAATAGTCTAGATAAGGCAGGCCAGCAATCAACAGAGTTTTTAAAAAATCTGAGTGAAATGGATATAACAGACTAGAAAATATAATTGGATGTGGGAATTAGTGCAAAACTGCAAGACTTTGCTTCTGCAAAGATGGTGGTACCAGTTTTTCTAAAATGCCCAGGGCAGAAGACACTGCTTTTACTGAGATCATTGCTTAAAAAGGGATTCTCCACCTTGGCAACACGTAGAATCATCTGGAGGATTTTAGGAATCTCTGTGTCCAAGCTGTGCTGCACACCAGTTAAATCTAAATTCTGTGTGTAAGGCCGGCTGGGTGGCTCTAGCCTATGATCTCAGCATTTTGGGAGGTCGAGGAAGGTGGATCACCTGAGGTCAGGAATTCGAGACCAGCCTGGCCAACATGATGAAACTCCATCTCTACTGAAAATACAAACATTAACCGGGTATGGTGGCACATGCCTGTAATCCCAGCTACTCAGGAGGATGAGGTAAGAGAATTGCTTGAGCCCAGGAAGTGGAGGTTGCAGTGACCCGAGATCACATCATTGCACCCCAGTCTGCTGGGTGACAGAGCAAGATTCCGTTTCAAAATAAATAATTACTTAATTAAATGAAATTAATTAATTCTGGTCGTGAGAGCAGGCATCAGTATTTAAAAACCATTCTAGGTGATTCCAGGGTGTAAGCAGCCTTGAGAACCACTGTTGAGAAGCAGAGTCATGGGAAGCCTTTTAAAAAAATTCCACCCAACATAGAATACACTGTATTCCACCATGGAACACTGTGCAGCCATAAAAAAAGGATAAATTCACATCCTTTGCAGAAACATGGATGAAGCTGGAAACCATCATTCTCAGCAAACTAACACAAGAACAGAAAACCAAACACCACATGTTCTTACTCATAAGTGGGAGGTGAACACTGAGAACACTTGGACAAAGGGAGGGGAACATCACACACTGGGACCTGTCGGGGGTGTAGATGACAGGTTGATGGGTGCAGCAAACTACCATGGCATATGTATACCTATGTAACAAACCTGCATGCTCTGCACATGTATCTCAGAACTTAAAGTATAATAATAAAAGAAAAAAATTATATATGCCCAACAAAGTCCTGGAGTACTTGAGCCCGCGTTTCATTTCTGTGCTGCTTTTCTTTCCCAGCTGGCCTTGGTCGCACGGGCACTCTGATAGCCTGCTACATCATGAAGCATTACAGGATGACAGCAGCCGAGACCATTGCGTGGGTCAGGATCTGCAGGCCTGGCTCAGTGATTGGGCCTCAGCAGCAGTTTTTGGTGATGTAAGTAGAAGCATCTGTAGTTCCAAGGGAGCTCATGGGGCTGGAAGCTCTATTGCCACCATGTCCAGCAAGTGGAATTCCCCTTAGTCTCCAGTAACAACAGCTTGTCTAGTAGGAAGAAATCGTTCATGTGTCTTTCTGGAAAGCTCTATTGATGTTATTTCAATGCTCTAGGAAGCAAACAAGCCTCTGGCTGGAAGGGGACTATTTTCGTCAGAAGTTAAAGGGGCAGGAGAATGGACAGCACAGAGCAGCCTTCTCCAAACTTCTCTCTGGTGTTGATGACATTTCCATAAATGGGGTCAAGAATCAAGACCAGCAAGGGCCTGAACCGGTAATCAAGCCATTTCTGTCACGATGTTGTTATTGCTTTAACTGCTGTTGAGACCCTGTCAGGGCATGGAGAAAACTGGAGGTAAAATAATAAAGCAGCTCTTGGGGGATGATTGTCAGTTTTTTATATTTATGACCCTCTCCAGGTACTTTTTACCCAAAATAGTGGAAACAAGGTTGTATATTCATAAAACTATGTTTTATTCACTCGGCAGGTGCATAAAAGGTTGTGAAGTGAGCTCTTTAGCCAGATCTACTCCTGCCCCCATTCCTTTTTGCCATTTCACGACCACTTATTTAGGAAAGCAGTCATTCTCAAATGGAGAGCTTTTAACAAATCAAGGCCTTAGGGGTAGCAGTACTGCATTAAGTGGCAGTAAGTAGACTGTGAAATGTTAAAAAGAATGTTTTTAGACTTGAAAGCCCATTATCCTTCTTCACTGTTGATGTGTTTTATAATGAGAATGCTGCTGGGTTGTCTCCGAAAGTCAGCTTGGGCTGTCTTAAAATGTGACCTGTACCTGGATTGTGAAAGGGGAAAAAGATTTTAGAGTTCGCAGAAACTTGGACTGTCTGTGTTTATGTGGCTCAACTGCCGCGGTGCTTTACTGCATTAATAAATGCAAGTTAAATCATGAGCTCAGTGTTTTTTTACTTACACAGTACAGCGATGACGACGAAATCAATGGAATGACACAAGGTGATAGACTTCGGGCCCTGAAAAGCAGAAGACAATCAAAAACAAACGCTATTCCTCTCACGTGAGTCTGGGTTCCTTTGTTGTGGTTGACGTTTTTTCATATGTGTGTGGGGTCCTTGGTGAGGGCTTTTCCTGTACATTTTTCTCCATAGTTGCAAGCCCATGATGCCACTGTGAAATGCTTGCCTATGTTATTTAAAACCTAGGGGTGCTGGCCTTGGAAGCTCTCAGCTGTCCCTTGTTTACCTTTGTCCTCTTGAGCCTTTATAGGAGGGAAGGCGACATTAAGGATGCTTTTTCTCCATGAATAATTAGCATGGGGTATCCTCAAGAGTGTGACAGCAGATGTAAAGCCCAGGATGCCAGACTTGTCCACAGTTAGTAAAGTGGTGGAGTGCTTTGCATTCACCATGTTGCCCATCACTTGTTTTGATCAGCATGACATGATGGCTTAATGACATTATGTTGTTTTGGGGCGACAATGAGCTGGTCTAAACTATACTTTGGGTTTTTCATTTGTTTCTTTGGGGAATTATTTTCTAATTATGGAGGAAGATTTAGCCTGAGAATAGGAAATGTTGTAGTTACTGAGTGTGTGTATGTCCATATGTACATTCTTGTGAATGTGTGTTAGTTGAGATTCAACCTGATGGAGTATCCAAGATTGTTAGAAAAATATGCAGAAGCAAACTACATGACCATGGCAGCATTTGTAGGCTGTTCTTTAGCAGATGCTCCCACTTGCTGCCATTGGATTTCTTCCTTCTAGTTACTTCCTTTTTCATTGTAGGGTACCAGATTTCCAACCTTTTTGCAGGGGAGGGAGTATGATGGGCATAGATCATTTATTCAGTAAACCTCTTATAATATGGTAAGGAAGTATGATATAATAGATCATTTGTATTGGCAAAGAACAGGTTTTCTTTTTAATTAAAAGTAATTCCTCACTAGTGTCTTGTCATAACAGTTCTGAAGTAGAATTACATGTAAGGCATGTATCATTATGGGTTGTTCCCCTGGGAGGGTCTTCTTAAAAGACCCAGTGCAAGGAATTGAGTTTTGTAATACGCAATGTTATGTGAATGAATGTAGGGCATCAATTTTGATTATAGGCATTTATTAAGCATTTCTTTTGCAGCATAGTAGTGCTTTAGTCAACTAGACTGCCTCAAAAATGGTACCTTTTGGCTGGGGGCAGTGGCTCACACGTATAATCCCAGCACTTTGGGAGGCCAAGGCAGGTGGATCACCTGAGGTCAGAAGTTCAAGACCAGCCTGGCCAACATAATGAAACCCCGTTTCTACAAAAATTGGCCAGGCATGATGATGGGTGTCTGTAATCTCAGCTACTTGGGAGGCTGAGGCAGGAGGATTGCTTGAACCCAGGAGGCAGAGGTTGCAGTGAGCCAAGATTGCGCCATTGCATTCCAGCCTGGGCAACAGAGGGAGACTATGTCTCAAAGAAGAAAAAATATGTTGCCTTTTGTGTAATATACTTAATTCCAAATGCCATTTTCTTTTTAACTTCCTTAAAATTCTTTATCTAAGGCCTTAATGGTCCTTTTTATTTGAAAGTATTATTGTGGCTCCAGGTCATCATCTGGGTACTAATTCTGGACATGGCACAGGAAGCAGGCAGTGCCCTCAAGCAGTGCTTCTCAGACCTCAGTGTACATGAAGCACCTGGGTGCTTGTTGAAATACAGGTTATGATTAGTGTGGTGGTAGCAGGGCCCAAGAGTCCACATTTCTACCAGAGGCTGCTGGTCCAGGGACCACACATTGAACTGTAAACCCTAGGAAACTGACGCTTTTGTGGCTGATTTTAGCTGTGTCCTGGTTTTTTTGTTTTGTTTTTCAGAGTAAGCATCATCAGTTTATTTTTTAATATTTTGTCACTTGCTGTTCAAAAGTCGAGTTGAGAGTCAGGGGATACAAATCCTGCTTAGTCAAAAGTTCTTGTTAAATAGGAAATTTCCTTTAGTCACCCTCTGAATCTGCTACCCTCATTAACATGAGTTCAAGTCTAGCTGGGCGTGGTGGCATGCGCCTGTAGACCAGGCTCTGCGGGAGGCTGAGGTGGGAGGATCACTTGAGCCCAGGAGTCGGAGGCTGCAGTGAGACATGATCACCGCATCTAGCCTGGGTGACAGAGTGAGACCCTGTCAAAATAAATAAGTAAAATCAAGTACAATGGTAAAGGATAAACAAACAAAGAGGTAGCTCAGGATTCCTTTTGGTAATAGCATCCTAAAAATAATACAGGTATATATAAATAGCCCCACATAACACAAATAACAAACATTTAGGCCACACTTTTAAAGAAGAAAGCAAAATGCTAGGTTTTCTAAGCTCTGAGTTATGTGTATAGACTCCAGGGGATTTTTGATGAGTCTCAGCAAATCTCCTTCCTCCTCCTTTACAACATTTTGCTTATTCCATCCTCTGCTTTTTCAAACCCTGTCTGCTATTATTTGCAGCTTTTTGGCCCTAGAAAATGTCAGTCGAAGGTTTTCTTTGTTTTCCTCTTGTATCTTTGTGGTTATTTTAGAAATAGAAGTCCCTGAGGCACTGTGTTCAACAATGGCTTGGGTTGAAAATTACCAAATCAGTTTCCTCCTCCCAATTTTGACTCATCGATTTCTGTGAGCAGGTTATTTTGATTTAATATTGATATTTAGTCTTATAAAAATACAGTACATGCAAGAAGGAAAGTTAGTGAGAAATATATAAGTACTAGTGATTTTTAGGAGAAAGTTATGGTACATAAGATGTTATTCCAATGATTGGTTCCTCTCTCTTTTTTTTTTTTTTTAAGACAGAGTCTTGCTCTGTTGACAGGCTGGAGTGCAATGGGGTAGTCTCAGTTCACTGCAACCTCTGCCTCCCAGTTTCAAATGATTCTCCTGCCTCAGCTCCCGAGTAGCTGGGATTACAAGTGTGCTCCACCACACCCAGCGAATTTTTGTATTTTTGGTAGCAACAAGGTTTCACCATGTTGGCCAGGCTGGTCCTGAACTCCTGACCTCAAGTGATACGCACGTCTCAGCTCCCAAAGTGCTAGGATTACAGGAATAAGCCACCGGTGTCCGGCTGGTTTCTGTTTTATAAATGGTTGGTTTTGGGGGAGAGTTTATGTTTTTAGCAATTGTATAATGGCCATTTACTCAGCCTGTCTCATCCTGCCTACAATGATGACAGTAAGCCGTGTGGCACCATGACATTGAGCTGATCTTCAGATCGTGATGACAAGTATATTCCCTGTGCTAAAATGGATTTGGTAGATCTCACAACTTGAGCCATGAGGCCTGTCATTCTGCATACTGATGATTTTGGCAGGTTTGGAGATGGGTATATGTGTTAGCAATGGAAAATAATTCTTAAGCCATGAGATTTACTGGATGAACAAGGAACCATCTATAATGCTGACACCTGAACATTCAGGCCCTTCTGCCTTCAATCAGGAGCTGAAAGTGAAGGCTGGGATGAATAGAGTTCTATAGTGCTCCCAGGTCATTTATTCCATTCTGTTTAAATATTCACCCCTGTGATCTTAATATATATTAGTAGGCTTGTTTTTTGTGGGAAGATTAAATAAGATGGTGTAGGTATAACTTGTGGGTTGAGGTTAGGTTGTATCTCAAGTTCACTCTTTAGTCTAATCCGTTTCCGCAAATTAAGATGTCTGGAATGTAATTTTTTTTCCCCTGAAATGGAGTCTTGCTCTTTCATTCGGGCTGGAATGCAGTTGTGCGACCTCAGCTCACTACAACTCCACCTCCCGGATTCAAGCAATTCTCCTTCTTTAATCTCCTGAGTAGCTAGGACTACAGGCGCACACCACCATGCCTGGCTAATTTTTGTATTTTTAGTAGAGATGGGGTTTCACCATGTTGGCCAGGCAGGTCTCGAACTCCTGACCTCGTGATCTGCCCACTTCAGCCTCCCAAAGTGCAAGGATTATGAATGTGAACCACTACGCCCAGCCTGACACATAATTTTTAATGATGAGAGTGATAAGGTCAACAATAAAAATGACGTAATAAGCCAAATCAGTCATGTCCAGATTGATCAGCAGTACTCCGCATGCAGCAGGCGCTCAGTAGAGCCTTTAGTATTTGCTCACAGATGTATCCAGGTGATCGTTTGGAAGTGCAGACATTGGAAGGAGCTGCTGCCCCTCCAAATGGGAGGAGGTTTCCTTCCTCGCTCCTAGAACCCAACTAGTGGATTAAGAAACACCAAGCTGAGGCTGGGCACAGTGGCTCATGCCTGTAATCCCAGTACTTCAGGAGGTCAGGGCAGGAGGATCACTTGAGCCCAGGAGTTCGAGACCAACCTGGGCAACATAGTGAGATCCTGTTTCTACAAAAAAAATTAAAAACAAAAAAAACTAACTGGACATGGTGGGATGAACAGATGGTCTCAGCTGCTACTTGGGAGGCTGATGTGGGAGGATTGCTTCAGCCTAGGAGTTGGAGGTTACAGTGAATTATAACACACTGCACTCCAGCTTAGGCAACAGAGCAAGACCCCTGTCTCTTAAAAATAGAGGCCAGGCACAGAGGCTCACACCTGTAATCCCAGCACTTTGAGAGGCTGAGGCGGGCGGATTACCTGAGGTCAGGAGTTTCAGACCAGCCTGACCAACATGGAGAAACCCTGTCTCTACTAAAAATACAAAATTAGCCGGGCCTGGTGGTGCAAGCCTGTAATCCCAGCTAATCGTGAGGCTGAGGCAGGAGAATCACTTGAACCCAGGAGGCAGAGGTTGCAGTGAGCCCAGATCATGCCATTGCACTCTAGGCTAGGTGACAGAGCAATACTCCATGTCAAAAAATAATAATAAAATAGCCAGGTGTGGTGGCTCACACCTGTAATCCCAGCACTTTGGGAGGCTAGCTGGGCGGAGGTCAAGAGATTGAGACCATCCTGGCCAGCATGGTGAAACCCTGTCTCTACTAAGAATAGAAAAATTAGCTGGGCCTGGTGGCATGTGCCTGCAGCCCCAGCTATTTAGGAGGCTGAGACATGAGAATCGCTTGAACCGGGGAGGTGGAGGTTGCTGTGAGCCAAGATCGTGCTACAGCACTCCAGCCTGGTAATAAATAGTGTAAGATTCCACCTCAAAAAATAAAATAAATAAATAATTAAAAATAAAGAAACACCAAGCTAACAGCCAGCTAGTATGAAGAAAATGAGTGTGGAAAACAACTAAGAAAAATATATAGTCTGCATACCTAAGTGAAATTTTGCTCATTTTGTGTTGCCCTGGGTTAGATGTGAACCATATTATAGAAATGTGCCATTCCCCTAGCTTCCTGCATGATTCAGGATTTAGAGACTCCATTGAAATGAGATCAGTTCTACTGTGTTACATTCATTTTTAGTTGTGCCTCCTATGATCTTGTTAACTAGTCTGGGGTTTTCTGGTTTTGGTTGTTTGTTTTTGGTTATCTGGGTTTACCTCCTTTGCCCCTTGTGGTTTGGTTTGGTTTTGTGTGTGTGCACATCTTATGCTTTTTGAAAAACTTCAGCCATTTCTCTATGACTGATTTCAGTATCACGAAGTTAAATTAACATGGGGAAGTTATCTAAGTCGTGACTGAGTCCCAAAGTATCGAATCTGTTTAAAGACAGCCTTTTTTTCTCCAACGTAAAATGGCAAAACTCCACCCTTTTTGACCGCCCCTTTGTATCCCTATTGCTGTTCTGGGCTTTTAGGGTGTCTAAAATTCACATATGGCTTGATTGATTGATTGATGACTGCGTTATTTATTTTGGCTTCCCAATTTGAACATCTGTTCTTTCCCCTTCACCCCTTTCCAGATGCCCCCTAGCTGTGCTGACCTCTGCACTGTGTAGTGTTGTCATCTGGTGGATTGTTTGTGACTACATTCTTCCCACCCTGCTATTCTGTCTCGATGGTTTCAGAGCACAGTAGCCATCAGGACCCCTTGACAGATAGCTGCTGTAAGTGTCCTGTTCCGTTTCTCTGCCGTCACTTACTTCTGGGGTCTAGTGTGTGCCCACAATGCATGTTTTTCTCCTTGTCAGCTCCTAGCTTTGTTGGTTTGCCTATTTTCCAAGGTTCTTTTTCTGAATCTTTTCAGTTTACGGGATGGTGGTGGGGAGGGAAGGTGGGCTCCACTGTTCTGCCCATAGAAAGGATATTAACATACCTTGTTTTAAAGTTGTGCTTATCCTTAACAGATATTTCAAAATAGCAGTTAATAAATAAAGATACAGAAACAGTTTTTCTTCCCTAATAAAAGGATTTAGTTAGCTTGGGATAATTGGGGTGGTTTTCTTTTCGTCAGTTGGCTATACAGCAGTTTCCCTCTAGTTTTCTGTATCTTGAGTATACCCTTCCCAATCTAGCAAAGAAGCATTTTCCCACTGATCTACTTTCATTAAAAATTTGATTTTGTAACCTCTAAATCTACCATGGCACCGCAGCTCTGTCATAAGTCTTCTCTCTTTAGTGTGCAGAATTTCCTGCTCTGTCTCATTTTGTCTCTTCCCCTTTAGGGAATACAGTAAGCACAGTGTGTAGCACTTGATGCTAAATGAAAGTGGGAGGTCGGAGCTGAGGCCACCTCTTTAGGTTGGTGCATTTCCATATGGCAGTCACTGCTCCTGCTTTTCTCCTTGCTGAGATATAGCCACAATGCCTCTATTAGGCTAATAGCAACATATTTGTATTTTCTTGAGATCTTTCATCTTTGAAATGAAGACCTTAACAGCGAAGAGGCTTTATTTCTGCAGAAGAATGTGGAAGAGGCCCACTTCTGGAACAGCACGCTGGAGACCCCCAAGGGGCGGGTGCATCCTGTGTCGCGGGCTCCACCACCACCCTCCTGTGTCTGAGCTGCATTCTTCCTTCTCTGAAGCTTTTTCCTTAACTCATATTTTCAGAATTTCTTCTCTTGTCTCCTCTTGGACTTGGAAGTTATGAAAGAATGCAACAGTCCTTTGCAAGATCTCTTCCAAAGAAAAATTCCATTGCAACCAACTCTGGTACTTTGTGGCTTCATTGAGTATTTTCACATAGCTGAGAAAGATTTAAAAATCAAGCTGATTTCACTCTTCAGAATTAGGCAAAACCTGCTTAACATGCTCCTATTTATGGCATTTTCTTGAGTATCTTACAAATACAAGCTTATTGTTGTGCATTCAGACATGCTGTTATTTCTGAGATAGATTAACCTTCTGGGTGTTTTCTCCTTTACTTCTCTTAGTAAACTTGGATTGCCACATATTCTGACTCAAGAGCATCATGCACTACATACATTATTCTTCACAAACTGTTCCAAGTGGCAACAATGTTCTGAATGGGTGGAGCAGTTGCTAATAATACTTAGGCACTTTGCAGTTGAATGATCATTCCCAGGGTAAGTTTCAAAATGGTCTCTATTAGGCTCTTTTGTTTCCAGCATTCCAGTAAACTCTACTTTTGTTGTTGTGGTTAATGACCTTTGCTGTTTCATTCTAGACCCAAGTAGAGTATTCATTTTAGCCTGCCCAATTATTTGGAATTTTCAGAAGCAAAAAGCTTGCGACAGTTACAGTGGTATTAATAAGTATCATCTTTGTAGCGCCCCCAAGACTTCTTTCAAAAGGGCCTTAATTGTAAGATAGGTGACTCCTGAGCGCCACCATCCTCCGTCATCACCACCCACATCTGCTGGCAGTGGACGCAGGTGGTGTGGCATTGTCTGATGGATTGTTTCCAGTGAAAAGCTCCTGTTACGAGGCATGCCTGGAGAATTAGGCCGTAACAACACTTCAGGCTGCTGAGTCGGACTCGGAGATAGTGGGAAAGGCTTCTCTGCAGGCTGCAGGGCCTCAGGGTCACTTTTGTGCACACTCTTGTAGTGTCCGGAATGGACAGCCAGTATCATAGCACATAGTTGCCCTGATGGATTTTTTTTTCTTGGAATTGGATGTTTATGTTGCAGATCTGGCTTTTTAGTTTTTGGCTTTGCTGTGTTCCTTGAGTTGCAGATTTCACCGTATCTGAAATCTGAGAGTACAGAGGCTCCAAGGATGCTACATAGAAGAAGGTGAACTGCAGTATGGGCAAGAGGTAGGCAGGATGGAGGATTTTGTCAGGGGCGTTTGGGAAGGAAGAAAATCCATCTGCTGCACACTGCTCTGCAAAGCCATGCTTGGCCTCGGTTGGATTGGAAGGCAGAAGGCAGCAAGTGCCTGGGTTCCCTGTGGCAGAGGCAGCACGTCACCCTCTCGTGCCTGTCAGGTGGTGTGTGCTGTCACTGGTGATAGCTCAGTAGAGTTCTGCCCCCACCCCCACTTAATGCATAACCTGCAGTTAGGATAACTACCGTGCTGTTGGAGCAAATAACTGGAATCTTTTCCCTGGTATGATTAATACACTCTCAAGTTCTGTCATTCTCTTGGTTTTAAAGTTCCACAGAAATTACTAGCTATTTAATATCAATATTATATCAGTTCACTTAATTCATACTAATTTTATAGAGAAATACTTTTTCAAAGCTGTTTTCTAGCAGCCTGACTATGTGATTTAGCAGCAGTTTCTTGTTTTGAATGGCGTTTAAACACTTCAGTCATAGTTAATCTGAGAAATCAGGATTCAGATTTCCTAAGCAGGCAGTGTATCAGTTCTTTCTTCCTCAGATTAATGATATTGTGGTGTACTTGTTGTCTGTACTTTTGGCCAACCATGGCCTCAAATTATTTGAGAAGTATGTGTTGTATTTTAAAAAACAAAAAAAAGCTAATAGGAGTCTCATTTTCTCCACACGTAAAGGGGTGGACGAGGGGCAGGGATGAGAACAGTGGCAGCACCAGCGCTGGGCCTGGGCTTCAGAAGCAGCAGTGAAGCAGCAGCAGATTGTTTTGGCTTGGGATTCTTTATGCAAAATTCTAGGTTCAGATCCTTAGCAGAGATGAATAAATATTTCCCCTTTATATAAACAGAAAGAATTTTTAGGGATAGGCAGGCTGGATCATGCCTGTAAATCCAAACACTTTGGAAGGTCAAGGCAAGAGAATCACTTGAGGCCAGGATTTTGAGACCAGCCTGGGCAACATAGCAAGACTCCATCTCCACAAAATAAAAAATTAGCTGGGTGTGGTGACATGTATCTGTAGTCCCACCTACTCTGAAGGCTGAGGTGGGAGGACCAGTTGACCCCACGATTTGAGGCTGCAGTGAGCTATGATTGCACCACTGTACTCCAGCCTGGACAAGAGTGAGACCCTGCCTTTAAAAAAAAAAAAATTTTTTTTTTTTAAATAATTCTTTGTTTTTAGAAGTAGAATTCACAAGCCAGGGTAATAGTTGCCTTTAATCCTACAATTAAGTCTGCATATACTCTTCTTTTTCTTTTTTTTTTTTTTTTTGGAGACGGAGTTTCACTCTTGTTACCCAGGCTGGAGTGCAATGGCGCGCGATCTCGGCTCACCGCAACCTCCGCCTCCTGGGTTCAAGCAATTCTCCTGCCTCAGCCTCCTGAGCAGCTGGGACTACAGGCACGCGCCACCATGCCCAGCTAATTTTTTGTAGTTTTAGTAGAGACGGGGTTTCACCATGTTCACCAGGATGGTCTCGATCTCTTGACCTCGTGATCCACCCGCCTCGGCCTCCCAAAGTGCTGGGATTACAGGCTTGAGCCACCGCGCCCGGCATCTTCTTTTTCTTTTCTTCTTTCTTTTTCTTTTTCGATACAGTCTTGCTCCATCACCCAGGCTGGAGATCGGTGACACAAACGTGACTCACTGCAGTCTTGACCTCCCAGCCTCAAGTGATGCTCTTACCACAGCCTTCTGAGTAGCTGGAACCACAGGCATGCACCACCACACCTAGCTAATTATTAGTATTATTTGTAGAGAAAAGTCTCACTGTGTTGCTCAGGCTAGTCTCAAACTCCTGGCCTCAAGTAATCCTCCTGACTGGGCCCCCCAAAGTGCTGGATTTACAGGTATAAGCCACTGCACCCAGCCCTTTTTTCTGTTTTGTTAGAACATTCAACATTTCAGATGATCACACTCTATGAGAATTTCTGAACCAAACATTGGCTGATTTATCCAGGATTCATGTCCCTGTGTCAGACTGAAAGCTAGTTTCATGGGGTCTTCAAAAATCCTGCATGAATAAAGTGAAACAGTGGGGAAAGCTGCCCTTTCCCTTCTCCCCAAAAGGCTTGGGACTGCTGGCCCAGACAAGCTCTACGTTATGCTCTGGTTGCTTCTTAGGGATGAGACCTTTAGCATTTTACTAAATGTTGGATATGCTTTTGTTTGGGTCATGCTGAGGTTGTAGTAAGTTGTTAATCTTAGCATATTTTAAGGCCCTTTCTTTGGTGTATTAGCCAGCATGGTGGTAGCTCAGACTGGTGAGGTGGGATGCTCACTAATTGTAATGGTTCCTTCTTACTCTTTTGAGCTGGGTTCTCATAAGTTGTTAACTGGCTTTCTCACCTTTGTGTTTGAATAGGAGAGAAGAAAGTTTTTTAAGTCAGTGCTTTCTCTTTCAGAAAAATTAAAGTTAGTATCTATAAATGTGTGTATATGTGTTTAGTTTGTCAGAGATTATCTCTTGAAGAAAAGAACTGCATATAGGCCTGGCATGGTGGCTCATGCCTCCCAGCACTTTGGGACACCAAGGTGGCCAGATCACCTGAGGTCAGGAGTTCGAGACCAGCCTGGCCAACATGGCAAAACCCCTCCTCTACTAAAAATACAAAAATTAGCTGGGCGAGGTGGTGAGCACCTGTGGTCCCAGCTATCCAGGAGGCTGAGGCAGGAGAATCTCTTGAACTCGGGAGGAGTTGTTTGCAGTAAGCCGAGATCACGCCACTGCACTCCAGCCTGGGCAACAGAGCAAGATTCTGTCTCCAAAAAAAAAAAAAATTGCATATAAAATCTTTTGATGTCTTCTGCTGTTTTCCCTATGACAATTTAAAGAGGAAAGAGAAAAAAAAAAAAAAAACCACAAAGGACCATCTGCCTCCAAAAGGACATTCCGCGTGGCCTTTATCTCAGAATGTTCTCTGTTGTACTTCCTCCTGGGCAGTCTACTTTCATATGCACCAGTTTCTCAAGACTTTTAGAGTTTAATTAAGGCAAGCTTTACAAAATTTGTTTTCACTTTCTTTTTAGTGGCACTTGGAGATTTAGTAAGTTGTTATAATCCAGACAAAATTCATATTTTGCTTAAACACTTTTTAAATTTTTGAAATGTTATATATAAAACTAGCATTGATTTAGTGGATTATTACCCATACTTACAGCTTTGAAGAGTGAATATTGTGTAGTTACTTTTTAAATTTATGTTCCTTTTTTTAAGAATTTGAGCTTCTTAATGATGTCTTGTTTCATGACTAAAAATCTGAGAAGCTACTTTTACTTTTGGGCACAAAGATCTGTTTGGCTGGTGGATTTCTTTGGTGTGGGAATTGCTTAAAATGCCAAGCCATTCATCTTCCAGAAGCAAAGCCCTCTGGTTATCTTTGTCTAACCTTCAAAGAGAAATGAGATGCTTCATTTTAAAAGGCCTTGATGTAAAATGTGTTTCAGATTTTTTTTTTTTTTTTTTTTGGCAAATGTGTTGATGGAAAATCCTTTAAATTCTCAATAAGATAATTTGCACTAAAGTGCAAAAATAACTTCCTCTCTCAAGTATTTGCAAATGGTTTCAGTGAATATAATCTTATTTTTTTCCAACTGTTTTCAGAGTAATTCTTCAGTCCAGTGTTCAGAGCTGTAAAACATCTGAACCTAACATTTCTGGCAGTGCAGGCATTCCTAAACGAACCACCAGATCTGCTTCAAGGAAAAGCAGTGTTAAAAGGTGAGAAAAGAATCCTCCTCTTCTGCAAGCATTGGTTTTCCAGTTTAATCTTGGGACCCTGTCTCTGGAGAGTGACGTGAAATTAGGAGAAAGCAGAAGCTCTGTGATGGGAGATTAATCAAATGTGTATTACTTGTTCATTGTCTAAGAAAATCTGGATTATTTTAATGTAGGCTTTCGTTTTGTTTTGTTTTTCAGAAGTAATTCTCAACACTGCAAGTATGATCTCTGGGTCATGATAAGGGAAAGTTTTTAAATTAAGCATTTCCAAAGCTGGCTGTCAGGACTTGGAGGACATCTTTCTAGGTGTATATCGGATACAGTGTCATTGCTGGACAGTTAGCTGCAAATTAGTGTGATGATGGAAATGAGATAACTCTAGAGAGTTTGGGGAGCCTTCTCTACCAGGTGACTCTTTGTCCTCTTGGCCACGGCCTGCACCTGAGGCTCAGTTACTTCTTTCACGGTCATCACTGTCTTCAGTAAGTGTAGGCAGAATTTCACAAGGAAGCCAATGTGTTCTGTGACTACGTCGGTGATTCTGTTGTCTTTGGATATTTCTTATGAAGTGGACACGTCATTTTTAAAGTATTCTGAAAACAGATACCATTTGAAGAGAGAATAGATGGCCCAGGAGTGGAAGCGGGGCACCTTTTCATCTTTGCCTGGTGTTGGCAGCCCGTGCAGCCCTGTTTTTGTCCTCCTGGTAAAAATGATCTCTTCTAATAGACATGAGTGACCAGGAGATAATCAGAACCAGACTTTAAAATGTCCTGCACATGTGCCTCGCTTCTTTTCAGCTTCCCTGTCCTGTATATGTGAGGCTTTGGGCCTAGGGGCCTTATCAGTGTGAAATTAGTCCCCAGTGCAAAACAGCCAGTCTCCCGAGAGACCCTTGGCAGAGCTAGGAGCTCTGTGCGCTTTGCCTTTCGAGGACTTGTGCAGCTGTGTTGTGATTCCTCTTTGCTGTTTGTTTTGTACAACTTCATTGCACACTTACACGCACATGGGGATGCAGCAGCGCCCAATGAGCATTTGAGGACTGTCAAGCACTGACTCATGATTTCAGGATTTAAAATTTTTCATCAGAGATGTATCAAATATTCCTATTTCTTTACTCTTCAGTTGTACTTGAGAAGAATATTGGAGAAAAACTGATGAAAGGTCAAAGATTTAGGTATGGTGGAACAATGCAGAGTGTTATTTATAACAGTGAGAAACAGGAAATGGGCTCAACATTGTTACATTGTGCCAGATGCTGTGGGAGTCATACAGTTTAGTTCACAAAGCAATGAGTGAGAACAGCCACACATAACAATTCTCAAGCATGGTTTGCGCCTATAATCCCAGCACTTTGGGAGGCTGAGACAGGCGGATCACTTGAGGTCAGGAATTTGAGACCAGCCTGACCAACGTGGTGAAACCCACTCTCTTCTAAAAATACAAAACTTAGCCGGGTATAGTGGAGCACACTTGTGGTCCTAGCTACTGGGGAGGCTGAGACAGGAGAATCACTTGAATGTGGGAGGTGGAGGTTGCAGTGAGCCAAGACTGCTGCGCCACTGCCCTCTAGCCTGGGAGATGGAGGAAGACCGCATCTCAAAAAAAAGAAATATTCTGAATTATGACTCTAATTTTGTAAGTATACTATATATGTATAGAAACACATCTATATTTATAGATGAATAAGTTTCTATATACGTATAGAAATAAGACAAAGGAAAAATATGCCCTCATGCTAATAAAAGTTCTGGTTAGTGGGACAGTTGGGTTTTTTTTTTTTTTTCTTTTTTATCATCTTATTTTCCAATTTTTCTACAATAAGCGAAGGGAAATGGGTGTGTTTTAACTGACACTTTTAGGTGAGCCAAACTATTAAAAATTCAGGCTGGGTGTGGTGGCTCATGCATGTAATCCCAGCACTTTGGGAGGCAGAGGCGAGTGGATGAGGTCAAGAGTTCAGGATCAGCCTGGCGAAGATGATGAAACCCCGTCTCTACCTAAAATACAAAAATAAGCCAGGTGTGGTAGCAGGCGTCTGTAATCCCAGCTGCTCAGGAGGCTAAGGCAGGAGAATCGCTTGAACCCGGGAGGCAGAGGTTGCATTGAGCCACGTTCATGTCACTGTACTCCAGCCTGGGCAATAGAACAAGACTCTTGTCTTTAAAAAAAAAAAAAGATTAAATTAAAAGTCTACCATTGATGACAATTAATTTTGACATGTCTTGAAGAGGTATATTATTTTTAAGTATGAGTGCCCAGGCTTTTGTTTTTTCTTTGAGACAGAGTCAACCAGGCTGGAGTCAACCATGCTGGAGCGCAGTGGTGCTATCGGCTCACTGCAACCTTCGCCTCCTGGGTTCAAACCATTCTCCTGCCTCAGCCTCCCAAGTAGCTGGGATTACAGGTGTGTACTACCACACCTGGCTTATTTTTGTATTTTTAGTAGAGATGGAGTTTTGCCATGTTGGCCAGGCTGATCTTGAACTCCTGACCTCAAGAGATCCACCCTCTTTGGCTTCCCAAAGTGCTAGGATTACAGGTGTGAGCCACTGTGCCCAGCTGCTCAGGCTTTTATTACAGCCTAGCGTGTCTTGCATATATAATTCTCCTTTTTGCTTTTTTAGATTATGCATTTTAGGTTATAGAGGAATAGAGTCCAGAAGCCTGGCTGATGCTTGCCAGGTCACACCACCTTCCTCTGAGGAAGAAAGGGCTGGTCTTGCCTCCGTTTTTCTATCTAGGTCTTGTTGCTTTTTCACGTCACTCTGGTGACCTGAACTCCTGCTTCTCTGGAGAAGGGGTTCCTGGCTGCGGCGAGCATCTGGCTGAGGTCCCTGTGAGGATGATTTGAGGCTCTTAAGGTAGATTGCACAGTCAGGGATCTGGACTGAATGTTGAAATGGCCCAAGCCAGTTTCCAGGAATTCTGGATAATGTTGAAAACCAGAAAGACTTACTTTAAATTTCAACATGGACTTTCAGAGATGATGTGGAGAGCAAAAGGAGTTGAGCAGTGAGGATGAATTGGGGCCTGCGGTTTATTTAACCACCTTCCTCTATGCAGGTTCTTTTTCTGTGCCTCTTTTGGGGCTTTGGCCTGTGTTCACATCACCTTACCTGTTATCCACCTACAGCTTACAAAAGAAAGGCAAATAAATTATGTATAGTTTTTGAGAATTGGGGGCAGCCGAGCTGTAGCCTGGAGCTTTTATCCTACTGAATGTTATTCATAATATCCTGCTGACTAGTATTCATTTCTGGTTGCAGGGTAATGAGGGGATTAGAATATTGGTGCATGGTCTGATTCTGGGCAAAATAGTATGAGCTGGGATTCTTGAGTAAATTCAAAGTATTGAGTTGAAATCTTTAAACAGCAGTAGAAAAAAAAATAGAGCACTCTTTGGGGTCCTTTCGTCCCTCCCTACAGGGCACCAGGGTTGCCATTTCTTACCGGTTCGTTGTCACCTTGGTGACGCATAGGAACTTGACTTTCCATTTTCATGTTCCTTGGTGTCCGGGATGAAGACTCCACGCAAACTCACTTTGCACTTAATTGGCACTTTTGATTTTCGGGTTTACTGAGAGGCACTTCAGCTTTGGGGGACTTTTTCACAAACAGCAAAGGAGCAATAACTTGGGGGTGATGAAAAAAATAGGATTGATGTCTTAAACTATTTGTCTTGGGAAAAAGTGCCACTGTTTCTCACAGCAGATGACTATCCCCTCCTGTATCCATTTGAAGCTGTGCCACATTGACACCTAAATTTCATGTGGCCACTGGTCTGGGACAGCGGCCAGGCAGCGTGTGTAGCCCTCAGCCCTGCTAGTGCTCTGTGTGGCATCTTCTCATTCCCTTCCCCGAGTCTGGAGAGGGAGGTGAGTGGGCTTCTCCACCTCCCACTGCCCATTAGAGCTGTAAACCCATGCTAACCTTTCTCTTTTAAGAACTAATAAATCCAGTGAATAATTGGCTCCGTTGACTTGACCTGTTTTCATGTTCTCACATAACCTCTCTGAAGAGCTCTCTTAAAACAGTCTTGGAAATTTCATCGTGCTCTGAGTGGAGAGCCTGCAGCTGCCTCATTTGCTCACATTCACTTCATGTCTTCATGCAGCCCTTCCACCGGTGCTTGCGTTAGCTTATGCTGTTTCTTTTGGGCAGGCTCTTCTTTTTTTTAAATGATAACTTCATTCATTTTCTAAGAAACTGTCATGTACAAGTGACTTTAATTCTGAGTTGCATCATTGGGAACCATCACTTTCTGCTGCAGCTGCCAACCCAAACCTAAGGTCTGGGGCTTTGGGGTGCTTTGTACCTAATTCTTCATATTGCAGGGGTCGGGGAGAGAAATGCTCAGGTTCTTTCCTTAGCCTTTTTTTTTTTTTTTTTAAGACGGAGTTTCACTCATGTTACCCAGGCTGGAGTGCAATGGCGCGATCTCGGCTCACCACAACCTCCGCCTCCTGGGTTCAGTCAATTCTCCTGCCTCAGCCTCCTGAGTAGCTGGGATTACAGGCACGCACCACCATGCCCAGCTAATTTTTTATATTTTTAGTAGAGACGGGGTTTCACCATGTTGACCAGGATGGTCTCGATCTCTTGACCTCGTGATCCACCCGCCTCGGCCTCCCAAAGTGCTGGGATTACAGGCTTGAGCCACTGCGCCCGGCCAGCCTTTTTTTTTTTAAAAATTGAGACAGCATCTCCTTCTGTTCCCCAAGCTGGAGTGCAGTGGTGTGATCTTGGCTCACTACAACCTCCGCCTCCCAGGTTCAAGCGATTCTTCAGCCGCCTATGTAGCTGGGATTGTAGGTGTGCACCACCTGACTAAAATTTTATTTATATTCTTAGTAGAGTGGGGTTTCACCATGTTGGCCAGGCTGGTCTTGAACTCCTGACCTCAGGTGATCTGCCCACCTCAGCCCCTCAAAGTCCTGGGATTATAGGCATGATCTACCACACCCGGCCTCTTTCCTTAGCCTCTAAAGCCACAAGTGTTTTCAGGAGCCCTTCAGTTGGGAGTAGCTGCTGCTAGGTCCTCTGACTTCTTCAGTGTTCTCGTGTGGCTTTGCCCATGTCACACCTGCCACTGCCTCTTGACCCTCGGAGCCTCAGATCTCTATGCCTGTTCCATTGCCTCTGGGCATGAATTTTTGGCGACTGCCATTATCTCCAAAAGTCCATCAGGAGAGGAGTCCCAGAAGGTTGTCTCTAAATGTTTCTTTTTAAAATACTGTTTCTCTCCAGTCATTTAAAATATTAATGATCCTTTGAAATTCCAGATATTTTCCCACTTGCCTCACCAGCTGACCCGGATCTTTTGACCCAGTGCTCTGTTGGGATCTCTGAAAGCGAAATGATCAGTTGAGACGCTCCTCCCTGAAGAGCACAGCAGCAGCATCGGGAGAGGGGCCCCCCCAGATTGGAAGTGGTTTTTCTGACTCTTCTTTTGGTTTTGTTTGTTTTCTGACAGTTGTTATTGAGCTGAAAGTGTAGCATCGCAAACTGGGGAAGGAGAGGAGGGAGGCAGGGTGAGAACTGTGGAGTGCGGAGGCAGGTAGCCCGTGGGGTGCCTCCCGTGCCCGGCGGAGCTGGAAACTACTTAGGTGCCAGAGCTTTCCCTGTGACCAAATTCTGGCTTTTGAAATAACCCAGTAACACTTGTCTATGTTTCCATTCTGCCCGCTCCTCCCACAGCCTGGTTCCGCAGAGGGAAGGAAGGAGGAGTGCTTTGCAGCACGTGCCCCTGGCGGCATCATGGTACTTTCCTGGCTCTGCTGCCTCTGCCCATCCGTCTTTTATTGTTTTTATTTATTTTTTAAAATTTCTAATTTTTGCAGAACTGAACCTTTTTCTGCTCTTCCTTTCTCCCATGTGTCTTTTCTTTGTGGTTGATAGTGTGTTGTCTTCTCCAGAGTATTTGTCATTAGAAACTTACAGCAAGCATATGCTTTTTAGCATGTCAGTATTTTTATTATGTTGCCCGCCTTGTCTTTGAAAACTGCTTGTGAACGCGGTGTAAACTTTATGGTAAAAATCCTTTTTTTCCCCCTGTAGTCTCTCCATTTCAAGGACTAAAACAGTCTTGCGTTAAGTAAAAACTTATGACCAGAGGTGAAGGAAGACTCTAGGAACTGAAAACTGCGACAGAAATTAGCACAATTTGAAAACAAAACAAAATTGCAAAAGCCTTAGTTGCTTTCCACCTAAGAAGTTGGCTCAATGGAGAAAATGTCCGCTGGAGTTTCAATAATGAATTTGGAGTGTGGGTGCAAGCGAATGACTCAAAGAAGGGCCCAGCTCTGAAGCTTGACGACAGAAATGCTGTTGTAAATCTAGTCTCAGGCGTACAGACCCAAGCCCCCTGGTACCAGAGAGCCGGCCGGTCTGTGGTGCATGTGTGTCCTTGTGATGGCAATCATTGTAGTCGCTGGCCTTCAGAAGAACTGAGGATCTGATGGAGGTTTTTTTATGTATTTATTTTCTGTTCACCTTGTGACCCTGTGTCAAAATTTATAAAGTACAAAAGGCATTACCGAAATGGTACTTCCTGTAATTTGATACTATCTGGCTTAATCGTCTTCACTTGACTCTTTGTAATACTGTTGTAATGTTAACTCTGTTAAGTACCCAAGCTGCTTGTCTTCCACCAAAGAGTGCTTTATTAACAGGAATCTGTGAAAACTACATTTAAACACTGTTGCATGTTGTAATACCAGGTGGTACCTTGGTAACCTAAAACTTGCAAGAGAATATTAATGGTAAAAGAAGACTCAGGAGGAGAAGCTGACTTCAGAGTTGGAAGATGTTCCAGTCATTTCTTTCTCTGTCCTTAAGGGACAGAAGAACTGCGAGGTTGCCCATTGTTTGGTTGCCAGTCATACAAATTAGAATCATATTTCCTTCCATGCCTGGAAAAAACACACTGTTGGTTTTTCCCCTTGGAAACCGCAATTCCAAATAATGTTGGCTTAAAAGAAAAAAAGTTAACACTTTTTTAGAGTCCTTCTCTGTAACATTGGGATTTTCTTCCTCCTGAGATCAGCCGAAGGCCATTGATGTGGCCTGCGATCTCAGTGGCAGCGATCTGCTTCTGGACCTCACTGTTGCCTTTGGTTAGGGAACACAACTAGTAACTCTGCAGAGTGCCTTGTCCCACAGCCGTACTGAAACACAGCAGAGTCTGTGCCATGAAGCAATTATAGAAACAGAGTTGATTTGCTGCTTAAAAAAAAAAATGGGGCCCCAAATAAAAGACTATTTAGTACCCACCTCAGTTCCTTCCATAAGAAGTGGGTGGTTTAATGATTGTTAACCCATGTTTGCCTGTGCTGGGAGCATGGAGGGCCAAGAGGTTGACAGGCAGTGGGAACCAAATGCCCTCCTAAGCCACAAGGCGTGCCCCAGATCAGCAGGCAATTGCCATTTTAAGAAGCTGCCCTTTTCACAAAACTGCAAGGAATAAAAGCAGTTGGAATAAACAGGTTAATGTATTTAATGCAAAAAGTAATTGAAAGGCAGTGCCTCCATTTTGGTGTGCTTTATCGGGAAGAAAGTATGAAATTGACCGGCGTCAGGGGAGATGGAAGATGCCGTTGTCTCAGCCAAACGGGCGACTCTTTCCCCACCAGGCACTACGGGGTGGGGTCAGGCCAGCCTTTAAACACTGGGGACTGGATCACAGAGAAACAGTGGTGTTCTGTCCCTGGAAATGAATAGGCACAAAGACCCACTTGCCTGTGGGAAGACCACTCTTCAATAAGATTTGGGTGGCAGAAGGAACATTCCTTTTGCTGTTTTGAGCTGAGACAATATAAATATTCAAACCGTGCCATGCACAAAGCATTGAATTCTCAGGGCACCTCTTCTTCCCCTTACCCTTTTTAAGGCCATCCCCCCCATAAATAATAATCCAGGTAGTTGTAAAAATTGCGCTTCTTTCTGAACCCTTCTTAGTTTGGCTTTTCATCCCATCAGAACAAGTAAACATGCAGCCGCCACGGCTCTTGTGAGTACTGTCTTCCTCCCGGTGAACAAGCCTCCTGGTGTTTCGTCCAAGAAAAGGAAGGGCGTCAGCGGAACTACAGTCCTTTTTCATTTTATAAACTGCCTCTTCATGTCGCCTGCTCAAGTTTCCAGCTACAATTGCTATCACTGTGGCTCTTTGTAAAAACCCTTCTATTTAACTGCCTCACTGAAATTAGTCATAGGAAGCTTGTGATTTGGTGAGGAAGCATTCCTTATAATAACCAAATGACTTGGGATGGTTTGCATAGCAACAGTGTTATACTTATGGGGACCACATCTCTGGAATCCAGGAAGTCTCTGGCTTTGAGGGATGGAAAGTTCTTCCTGCTATGAATGAGAATGGACTCTTCCCTTACCCTCAACTGAAACCACAAACACCCAGAATCTTCTGGGATTCTGACTTACAGTCCTTGTTATAGAAGACGTTGTTGCTGTGGAATATGAAACTGTGTGTGTCAGATGGAGAGATTCCCTTAAGAGCCTTAAATAGCCCTGAAAGTACACCAGGACAGTTTGCAAATGGAATTATAATTAGAAGTGAATATTTTTAAGTGCCCTTGAAGCTTTCTGGGGACTCAAAATTATCAAGAGTCAGGCACAGTCCGGAGGAAGAGCGTCTGCAAAACTGGGTTCCTAGAAGTACGGATGGATGTCGCTTTTTGTAGAACTTGGCAGGGAGCAGCACCTTGTGAGAGCAGGTGGCCTGACGTGGCCAATGCTTCCTGGCAGCACGAGGCTCTGCCAGCCTCCAGAATTCCCCTGTTCTGAGCTTGATGCCCTTGGCCTGTCCTTTACCCACTTCCTCCCCTCCCCCTAGCCCTCTCACAAGGGTGATTGCTACCTCTCTCTTTTCTTGGGCCGAGCAAATTTTAGAGGAGTTCCCAAGCTTTGTCATGAGGCCAGTGTGCGGATGGCCTGGGCTTGTGTGTGGCCCGAGGGCTCTTCTGGGGCCTTCCCTCTTCCCAGTCACCTTCGGAGCCACAGGAGCCACGCACTCATTGGATGTCTGTTCTTAACATAGGTCAACTGCTTCTCTTTCTACATTTTAAAAAATCGTTGTATTTTAGAAAGCAGTGCTCATCAAAAGCAACTTTTAAAACCTATTTTATCATTCCTTTAATAGTTATCTCCCGCTGAAACTGCCCTGGGGAGGCTAGCTGCTGCTCTTCCATTCTCCACATCAGGGTATTCTCCACATCACTGAGTGGAGATGCGTCCAGATGTGTTTAAAGACTGGACAATTCACCTATACTGTGTAGGAAATTACCTCCTTAATTACCTGGTAGAATTGTTAGCAGACATGTTCATCTGATGGTAGTACTGCAGTTTTCTATTAATAATTTGCAGACTTTTATCTAACCTGCACTCATGTACAGATTATTAAAAGTTTTGAAATGTAACTGATCAGTATTGATCAGTCATTGTCTTGATTTTTTTTTTTTTTTTACAGTGTATATTTCTAATCATGTTTTTTAAAGCCAAGAGAACTGGTTGAATGAATGTTTATTTTCCTGAAGGTATTTTTAAGATAAAGCTTCCTAATGGCCTGTAAACTTTGCATATATAGGTAGTTTGATACATACTGTCACATTTGAAAATCTTGTGAGTTGTAACTGGTTTTATACAAAATATCAAACAATGGAAATTGTATAATTATAATCATGTAATTAAAAGTATTAACCAAACGGTCTTTTAGTTTATTGTGTTCCTTACGAAGCATTTTGAATTCTGGTAGCCAGTGAGTAAAGCAGAGCATCCCGGAATCTGTACTGGTCTGCTAGGATGACCATGATGGAACACCCCAGACTGGGTGGCTGACACAAAAGTTCATTTCCTCACAGTTCTGGAGGCTGGAAGTCCACGACTGAGGTGTGGGTGGGCTTGGTTTCTCCCAAGGCTTCTCTCCTGGGTTGCAGGCTCTGCCTCTCCTCAGGGCCTGCGTGGCCCTGGTGCCTCTTCCCATCTGCCCCCCTCTTGTGAGGACACTGGTCAGATTGGATTGGGATCCACCCCGATGGCCCTCATTTTACCTTGTTAAAGGCCCCGTGTCCACATAGAGCCACATTTCAAGGGGCTGGGATTAGGGCTTAAGTGTTTGGAAGTCAGTCCAGCCCTCTTCTGTAGGGTAAGGTGGTGAGCAAGAGGGGGCCATTCCTCACACCCCAGCACCGGCTCACAGGACGCAAAAGTCTGATTTTTCTGGAGACTTCTAAGGAGAACCCTCAGGCCTTTGGGGTCCTGCGGGGCATTTTGCCGGCCAGGGTGTGGCAGTGCTGGCCACGGTGCCCTCCGCAGCTTGTGGTCCAACCCCAGACATGGGCCTTGTGCTCTCTACCTGACCTGCCTCTGATGGCCTCTAGTGCTGGGCAGGAGTCCAAGAGCCCAGTGTCCACACCCCACACACAGCTTGCTGCTGAAACTCAACACCCTGTGTTCTGTTGAGTTCTATCCGGTTTCCCCAAGGAGCTGTGCTTGGATTCGCACTGGGATACAAGTGTCCAAAGTAAAAACCAGAGACCTACCTTCTCACCCCTCTCCTGACTCCCACCACACGTGACCTCCCAGAGTGTGTATGTGTAGACCCTGTGGCTCTGTGGGAGCTGTGGCCTCACCCTGCCCCTCCATGGCTTCTGAGGCCAGTGCCTGGTAAGGTGTTCCCCTGACGCACTAGCGCTCAGGCAGCTGGCCCCACCACGCAGCTCTGAAGTCCCTGAGTGCTGTGAAGGGGCCGGCCGGCTTGGAGGCAGTGCTTCAGATGAAACCATGCAGCATGTCTGTTCCACCTGGGGGGCCATGTCTTCCAAGCCTGTGTGAGGGGCGGGGGGGCAGCAGGCTGTGGATACCCCTGGCCCTTAGAGGAGACTTGTTTCCTTCCCTGTCATCTGCAGCCACTCTGCCCTGGGCCTGACCACCATGTGCAGGATTTGCTGATCCCCTCTGCTTCCATTAAGTGATATTGAAAAGAATTCCTACCTTAGCAATTAGTATGAGAGTTAAAATAACACATTAAAACAGTATCAGGGGTATATCTTTCAATTCACTATTTTGTCATATTTTAGAGGTCATTTTCTCTAGATAATTAGGGAACTGATAGATTAGGGACTAATAGCAGATTATGGCCCCTCAGTATCTGAAATTTTGGGGACCTGCAGCATAATTTTATGGATGGGAAATGGTGTAAACATTTAAAAAGAGGTCACAGGCCGGGCGCGGTGGCTCACGCCTGTAATCCCAGCACTTTGGGAGGCCAAGGCGGGGTGGATCATGAGGTCAAGAGATCAAGACCATCCTGGTCAACATGGTGAAACCCCGTCTCTACTAAAAATACAAAAAATTAGCTGGGCATGGTGGCGCATGCCTGTAATCCCAGCTCCTCAGGAGGCTGAGGCAGGAGAATTGCCTGAACCCAGGAGGCGGAGGTTGCGGTGAGCCGAGATCACGCCATTGCACTCCAGCCTGGGTAACAAGAGTGAAACTCTGTCTCAAAAAAATAAAAAAAATAAAAAATAAAAAATAAAAATAAATAAATAAAAAGAGGTCATGTAAACTATTTGGCCTTGAAGTGGGGACCCACATGCTGAAGGTAAGTCTGGAGAGGCTGTTCAGAGGCAAGGCTGGGCCGTGGGAAAGGAGTTGCAAGGGCCCCTTCCCGTGGCCCTCAGTGGACTGAGACACAAGTTGCTGTGAAAGAGCAAGTCCCAGTGGGTGTACCCTGCCTCAGCTCCACCACTTCTGTGGCATCGGGGACCCTTCATCTACCAGCTGAGCCTCACTTTGTTCAGTGGTAAAATTGGACTAGCTGTTTGAATTAACATTGTACTTCTGTTTAGATTACAGAAGCACATGGCTGAGCCTTAGCTAGGGGAGTGTGACATCCGCTCTGCTGTCTTTCCCTCCTCCGTGTGCCTAAGTGCAGCTGTGGGTGCGCTAGAAAGGAGGATCTTGGGGGGAATTCTCCAAGAACACAACCTTTAGCTCCTCTGTAGCACCCTAACTGGAGGTCACACTCTCCCTATCGTCGGCCATGGAGGTGGCTTCTGAGGTCTTAGTGTCACAGCATCACATCAGTGTTCTGCAGAGACTCTTCCTGGGTGGTGCTGGCTATTTCCTTAGGATAAATTCCTACAAAAGGGATTTCTGGGTCAAAAATGTGAAAGATGTTGAAGCTTTTGCTGTGGGAAAAAAAAGCCGCTTGGTAGAATTGTTGAGAGCATGCATTCTGGGCCCAGGCTGTTTGAATGCAAACCTAAGCGCTGCCGTAGCTTAGATTTGGGCTGAGGGACCTAAGCTCCCTAAACCTGTTCCTTCTCTGAAATGGGGACGGTAGTATTCATCTTACAGGGTTGTGTAAGGATGAAATGAGTTAATATTTGTTCATCGCTGGGAACAAGTGTCTGGCACACGCTAAGAGCCAAGTGTATTGTGCCTAATAAAAAAAATTAAAATGCTGTCCAGGAGGGCTGTCACGACGCGCAATCGCCGCTGCCCGCCCCTCCCCCGTTAGCAGCTGTTGTGACACTGGTGAGCTGCTCAGTTAATAGCAGGACAGTGGCCCCAGCGCTGCGGGTCGTGGGTCACACTCACTGCCCTGCCGTTTATCGTCCTAGCCTTAGCTTTTCCGCATTGATTTTGGGCATTTCGTCTTCCAAGCTGTTGGCACAGCCTGCCCTTAAGTCCTAGCCTCACCGCGTCTGTCCGTTTATTGGGGGAGAAATGGACCCCGCTGAGCAAAGCCTTCCAGGTTCCTACCCAGCGCCTCGAGGGGGACTCCGGCCCCTGTGGGAGTGGGGGCCCTCCCGCCTCGGCCTCCCCGCCTCTAACCCTGCCTGTCTCTTTGGCAGCAAGTCTGCATAGCTTTGAAGCGCTTCCGGACGACGCGTACTCGGTCCACACCGAAATCCCCAGGTAAGGAGGCAGGGCCAAGTCTGTTTCTAAAGGGGGGAGGGCGGCCGTGTCCTTTGTGCGTTGTGGGACTCGGGGAGGACAGTGGTTTCTCCTGTCCCTGGGTGTGTTTCTGTGTTAAACAAGACGCCTTTTCAGGCGGGCCGTTCTCCCTGGCGTGGGAACCCCGGGGGGATGCAGTGCGTCTGGCGTCCCGCACCCGCCTACTCGGTGCCAGCGGACAGCCCAGGCCCTCATGCTGTTGCCCGCCCCGGGCCGGTGCCACCCCCAGCTGGGAACGGCTCACCCGCTTCGTCTCGGGCCGGGCACGGGACAGAGAAGCCGCCACGGTGCTCTCGGACCGGACAGAGGAAGGCGCTTCCCGGAGGGACGGCGCAGGACGGGCTCCCCGGGAGCTGGTCCGCTGCGCCTCCTCCTGCGGGGACTTCAGGGTGGCCTGGGCGGTGGAGCCAGCGGGGTCCCCTCTGCCTGCGCCTCGAGTGCAGGTTCAGCTGGGACCCAGCTGGAGGGAGGCACACGGAGCGCCCTGGCAGGCCCGCGGTTGGCCTGTCCTCAGGTAGCGGCGGAGTGTCCACTCAGCACTCACTGGCGAGGCTGGAGGATGACAGCTGATGGCCCTCCTGGTCCCCAACCTAAGTTTGCCTTGCGGTTGAGAGCTTGGCCCAGGAAACTAGTCCTTGCCGTCCACACAAAGTCACATCCGAGGCAGGCCCATGGTAAGTGCAGCCCTGTCCATCTCCTCCCTTTTCCAGCGATGGTTGGCTCTCCCGGGCTGTCACCTTCCTAGACCGGCTTCTGCTCTGGCTCGGGATCCACAGGGACTAGGCCTCCGGGGAAGGTCTCTCCTGGACACACCTGCTGCCCAACGAAAGTTCTCTCCAGGTGCAATTGAAGCCTCTCAGCAGGTGTTTCTGCCTCGTTCTTCTGCTGGGTGTTAAGTCATCAACCCAGGGCCTTCCCTGATGCCCCGGGGGTGACTGGGTTGGAAGGGCCGGGCTGACACCGCGGTGGTAGCAGGCGCATCCCCGCGCAGCAGGGCAGCGCTGCTTGCTCATTCTTAGACCAGGAGCTCCTGTGAGGTGATCTGATGGAAGCTGAGGCCCCTCCGTTGTCCCAGAAAAGTTCACGTGGAATTTTTGAAGGCTGCGTCGACAGGTTCACTTACAGGCTTGCTGGCTGCCACCACACACCCCAGGGGTGCTGTTCCACAGATGCCGTGTGGAGGGCGCCCCGTAGGTGTGCAGTCAAGGCAGGGCCTATTCACCAATCACCCTGCCTGGGCCTGCCCCGGAGCCTCAGTAAAAATTCCCAGGCAGCATCTTTCTGCCTTGGTCACAACCACCCACTTCCCCAAGCCCGTCCCTCACAGGCCACCTGGCGTTCCCATTGCTCCTGCTTCCTTCCTATCCACCTTCCCTCTTCCTGGAAAACTTCCCCAGCATCACCGCTGACTCCACCTCCATCCCCTCACCAGCAAAACATGCGAGTTGGGGGTCAGTTCGCTTAGAACTTGCCTAGGATGCTTGAAATGCTTTTCTCACTGTTGCTCTGACACAAGACCATGTGGGCCGCTGGGACAGTTGTGTGAGTTGTTCATCGCACAACCCCAGGGAACGCTAGGCACACTGAGGTCGATGTGAGTCAAGTCCCAGGAGGGGGCAGCGCACAACATGGGTGCCTAGATAAGGCAGCCCTCCTGGAGGCGCCCTCGGTGCCTTTGCAGGGTGGTGGTTCTTGAGGAGAAATGTCTTACCCCACCTCAGTGTCTGAGAGCATTTGAAAC